GTTTTGTGGTAAAGTTGTGTAAAAGTCTATTTATCGTTGTGTACAAGTGTGTTTTTATCATTGAGGTTGGGGGGTTTGAGGTGAAATTGTGTAAAAGTGTCTTGATCATTGAGCTCAGGGTGTTTGTGGTGAAATTGTGAAAAAGTGTCTTTTTATCTTTAAGCTCGGGGGGGTTGTGGTAAAATTGTGTAAAAGTGTCTTTTTATCAATGAGCTTTGGGGGGTTTGTGGTGAAATTGTGTAAAAGTGTATTTTTATCATTGAGCTCGGGGTTGTGGTGAAATTGTTTAAAAGTGTTTATCATTGAGCTCGATGTGTTTGAGGTACAATTGTATAAAAGTTTTTATCTTTGAGCTTGGTGGGTTTCAGGTAAAATTGTGTAAAAGTGTCTATCATTGTAAAATTGTGTAAAAGCTCTCATTGAGCTCTGGGGGTTTTTGATTAAATTGTTTTAAAGTGTCTTTATCATTGAGCTTTGGGTGTTTGTGGTGAATTTGTGAAAATGTCTTTTTATCATTGAGCTCAGGGGGTTTGTGGTGAAATTGTGTAAAAGTGTTTTTATCATTGAGCTCAGGGGGTTTGTGGTGAAATTGTGTAAAAGTGTTTTTATCATTGAGCTCGGGCTATTTGTGGTGAAATTGTGTAAAAGTGTCCGTCATTGAGCTCGGGGGGGTTGAGGTGAAATTGTGAAAAAGTGTCCATCATTGAGCTCGGGGGCTTAGTGGTGAAATTGTGTAAAAGTGTCTTTCATGGTAAAATTGTGTAAAAGTGTCTATCATTGAGGTAAAATTGTATTTTTATCATTGAGCTCGACGGGTTTGAGGTAAAATTGTGTAAAAGTTTCTTTATCATTGAGCTCAGGGGGTTTGTGGTGAAATTGTGTAAAAGTGTCTTTATCATTGAGCTCGGGGGCTTTGTGGTGAAATTGTGTAAAAGTGTCTATCATTGAGCTCGGGGGCTTAGTGGTGAAATTGTGTAAAAGTGTCTTTTTATCATTGAGCTCAGGGGGTTTGTGGTGAAATTGTGTAAAAGTGTCTTTATTATTGGGCTTGGGGTGTTTGAGGTTAAATTGTGTAGAGTCTTTGTATCATTTAGCTCGATGTGTTTGAGGTCAGATTGTGTAAATGTGTGTTCTTGTCATTGTGCTCAGGGTGTTAGAGGTAAAATTGTATAAAAGTCTTTATCTTTGAGCTTGGTGGGTTTCAGGTAAAATTGTGTATAAGTGTCTTTATCATTGAAGTAAAATTGTGTAAAAGTGTCTTTATCAATGAGCTCGGGGTGTTTGTGGTGAAATTGTGTAAAAGTGTATATCATTAAGCTCGGGGGGTTTGAGGTGAAATTGTGTGAAAGTGTTTATCATAGAACTCGGGGGCTTTGTGGTGAAATTGTGTAAAAGTGTCTATCACTGAGCTTTGGGGGTGTAAGGTATAATTGTGTGAAAGTGTCTTTTTATCATTGAGGTAAAATTGTGTAAAAGTGTCTGTTTATCACTGAGGTAAAATTGTGTAAAATACGTTTTATCGTTGTTCTCGGGGGGTTTGTTGTAAAATTGTGTAAAAGTCTTTATCATTGTGCTCGGGGGTTTGTGGTGACATTGTGTAAAAGTGTCTTTTTATCATTGACCTCAGGGGGTTTGAGGTAAAATTGTGTAAAAGTGTCTATCTTTGAGCTCGCGGTGTTTGAGGTTAAATTGTGTCAAAGTCTTTATCATTGTGCTCGGGGGTTTGTGGTGACATTGTGTAAAAGTGTCTTTTTATCATTGAGCTCGGGGGGTTTGTGGTGAAATTGTTTAAAAGTGTCTTTATCATTGATGTAAAATTGTGTAAAAGTGTCTTTATTATTGTGCTCCGGGTGTTTGAGGTAAAATTGTGTAAAATACTTTTTATCATTGAGCTTGGGGGGGTTTGTGGTGAAATTGTGTAAAAGTGTCTGTTTATCAATGTGCTCGGGTGGTTTGTGATAGTTGTGTAAGTCTTTATCATTGAGGTTGGGGGGTTTGAGGTGAAATTGTGTAAAAGTGTCTTTTTATCAATGTGTTCGGGGTGCTTTGTGGTGAAATTGTGTAAAAGTGTCTGTTTATCAATGTGCTCGGGTGGTTTGTGATAGTTGTGTAAGTCTTTATCATTGAGGTTGGGGGGTTTGAGGTGAAATTGTGTAAAAGTGTCTGTTTATCATTGTGCTCGGGGGGTTTAAGGTAAAGTTGTGTGAAAGTGTCTTATAATTGTGCTCGGGGGGTTTGTTGTGAAATTGTGTAAAAGTGTCTTGATCATTGAGCTCATTGTGTTCGTGGTGAAATTGTGTAAAAGTGTCTTTTTATCATTGTGCTTATGGGGTTGTGGAGATATTGTGGTTTTTGGGTGTAAAAGTCTTATTGTTCACACGTTGCTGCTGTGATCTGGCCTTTCGCCTATAGGTGGTGCTCTCTCCTGTCGTTTTTAAATGTACCAGTCCTGATGGATGACTGTACACAACCTCAGTCAAGGGGAATATCTAATTAGTTACTCTCCAAATAGCATTTTTGTATGAAACATTTAAAGAAAACGACAACCACTTTTCAAAACGCACAATAACACAGACTGGCATGTTTGACAACGAGTAAATAAGACACAGGCGAAACGAGAATTCACCATCACTTTCTGCATGTTTACTGTGACCTGTCCTGATCATGAGAAGTCTCAGACGCGTCTCTTCACCAGACAGTTTAATACAGCAGTTCTACATGGGACCGGTGTGAGAGTATGTGGGTAACAGTGATGGCTCTCTCTGCTGTACTGCTGTGGCCCTCCCTCCTGATGACAGAATCGTCTCACACTTCACCTTCACAGACACAAGCTCCATGTGTTTGTGGTGAAATTGTGGGTCTGTTGGTGTAAAAGTTTATTATTGAGCTCACTGAACTGATCTCGAAGGCCACTTTAATTTCAGTTGGCGTCTGACATTTTGAGTGAAATTGTAGTTTTGTAGGTTTAAATGTGCTGTTTCTTTGACTAGCCGGCTTGTTTAGTTGATATTTGTATTTCCTCCTTCTGAAGTAAATATCAAGTGTTTTTTTAATGAAATTGTAGGATACCGGTGTGTCGAAGTGGCTCCGGTTTCGCTGCGGCTCATGTCAGATCCAGGGCTGATAGAAACAGTTTGATCAATAAATGAACTAAAAATCGATTCACACGTTTGTTGCACTTGAGCTGAACAGAGACGACGTTTTCAAACAGTCTATATTGGAGGTTTGCATCACCACTGCTAAAATCGACAAACAATGTCATAAAAACGTGTTTTCGAGGTTTGCTTCGGTTCAGATGACACCTCAAATACAGTAATAGGGTATAAAAATAAGTGACCGGAAATACGCTGTGCTGAAGCTCTTTATGATAACGTGTTCTTGCAGGTTTATTTGAGTTCAGGTAAAGAGAAATGAACGTTTTATAAACACTTATTTCAGAGGCGTGTTTCACTCCAGGGGAAGTGTGCTTTTATATACAGGTGAGAGAGAGTGCACAAGAATCGTCAGAAGTCAACACCGTTCGTTAGAGATGGATGATGTCCGAGGTCACCCAGAAATAGAGCACGACAGGTCACTCAGAGGAAAGATATTTTTCATTTTTCACCGGCGTATGGATCTACCAAGTACAGAAGCCAGACAAAAAACATTGAAATGTAATTTGAAATTCACACTGACGTGTTGAGAACTGTTCCTTAGAAGCGTTTGATCTGTGTTCAGATCTTCTGCTAAGGAGATGTGGTCAGGAAAGGCAGCGCTGCCTTCTCTCGTCTGACCGTTGTCTGCAAACCCAGAGGTGTCCTGTGGTCTTTATAATCTATAACCACACTTTCCCCTGTGGACATTCAATCATCTGTCGCAGCAGGATGCCGATTGATTTGAAAGGCAGCTTTATCCCGACAGCATGAGAGAGAGGCCAACATCAGTCTGGCTGGAGGTCTGGTGAAAGGAAAGCTTTGAATTTAGAGAATTTAAAATTATATTTGTAGATTTTAAAACTAAGTGATTAAGTAGAACTAAGTTATTATTTTATTTCAGTTGAACTATTAGGAACAGTTATTTTACAAAACCCGAACCTTATTCTGTGTTTTGGTTTACTCGAGATTTAACGCAAGATGGAGTTTCCTGCAGGAGTTCTCAGCAGGTGTGGAACGTGTTCAGTGTTCTGCAGGAGTTCTTGGGTGGTGTGGAACGTGTTCAGTGTCCTGCAGGAGTTGTTGGGTGGTGTGGAACGTGTTCAGTGTCCTGCAGTCCAGGCTATCACTACGGAGCTCGCCAGTTTGACGTTTTGAGCAATTTTTCTCAGCCTCTGGTTTCTCTCCCTCATGATCCTGCGCTCCTCCGGCAGCAGTTTCTCGTTGTTGGTGATCTTGGCGAGGATCTCGGCGTGCTGTTTCATCTTGCGCAGCTCGGCGATGCGGGCCTCCTCTTCCTCGTTGCGGATGAGCAGCTCGATGTAGGCGGCCGTGGACAGAGCGTTGGGCTTCAGGGCGATCTCCTCCAGGCAGTTGGAGGACAGCCTGATCAGCTGCATGATCTGGTCCTCGATCGTCTCGAAGTCCATTTCGATTTTCTCGAGCATCTCCTTCGTCGACATGAATTTGCTGGAAGCCTTAACGAAGTTGTCCTTGAGTTCTTTGACTGTTTTCATGACCTTGACCACTTCGTACTCCCACATCGTCATCTCGGATACCTGATACCTCACGATCTCGCCGGCGCCGTACTGTCCCGCTGCTTCTCCTCTGCCGAAACCTCCCACATCGTCATCTCAGATATGTGAGCGGAGTAGTGGCAGTTACCTGGACAGATCACACAGAATCCAGCATCATCCATGACGGCGCAGAGATTGGGAAGGAAACATCCTGAATGGCACGAAACCAGACAGTTGTTGCAGTTTATTGAGAGATGCTTGGTGTTCTTCCGTTTCGGGACCAGCTCTTCGATCTCCGTCTCGAACTTCTTGTTCTGCTCCATGTTGGCCTGCTCGTTTTCCAGACATGCCCTGATCTTCTTCATTTCGTTCAGCTTCGCCAACCCGGCCTAGATCTGAGGCAGCAGCCTCGCCATCGCCGTCTCCAGCCTCTCGCGCTCCTCCAGGACTTTCTTCGTCAGCGCCAAGTCCTTCCCCTCCGTCTCCTCCAACGTTTGGAAAAACCTCTTCAGCTGCTTCACGTTGTTCGTCCAGACAATTTTCTCCAGCTTGTTCTCGTCCTCTTCGTTGCCATTTTCCCGGAGCCCTCCCTGTTGGGATTGGTGTCGGGCCTCTCGTTTTGTGTGTAAAGGGAGGAGTTGTTAAATTCGAAGTGCGTCGCTTTGCCCTTCTGGTTCTTGCGGCACGGCAGGCCCGCGGCTTCGATGCCGCCCAGGACGGGGATGTCCTTCCCGTCCACAAACGTGACGAGGATGTTCTCGGCGATGTCCTTCCTGAAGATGGAGAGGATGGAGTCGAAGACGTACTGCTGGATGGAGGTCAGCCGCGCCAGAGACGCCTGAACCACGAAGCACACGGCGTCGATGTGGTCCACACTGCCGGGGCTGGTAAAGAAGCGCTTCACCTGCTCTGTGATCAGCTTGTCCCGAGAGAGTCCCCGCGTGTCTCCGAACCCCGGGGTGTCGATGACCGTGAGGGAGTAGGGGACGACGAATCCCTTCTGGTTGTGGAGCTCGTAGGACGTCACGATGGAGGTCTGACTCTCCGCCTGCGAGCGGTTGGTCTCCTCGTGGATCAGCTTGAATCGAAACCGATCCTCCCACTGCACGCCCAGGATGTAATTGATCATCGCGTTGATGAGGGTGGTCTTCCCTGCCCCCGTGGCCCCCAGAAGGATGATGACCTTATTGTTCCCTTCTTCTACTTTCCTGCCGAACGTGAAGCGCTGGAAATGCTGCTCGTCGGTGGGCTCCTGTTCCTGCGACAGCCTGTATAAGGAAGGCTGCCTGCGCTCTATCAAAGTGGAGAAGTTTAGGAAGTGGTCGCTCTGTACTTTAACACGACTGACGTCCCCTGACTTGACTCTGCTGTCCTTCGGGATTGTTATTGGAGTCTCGGGGCTCGGTGGACTCTGTAGCCCCTGTAGGTACGAACAGCCTGTGCCAGAGATTTCTGTAAGACCAGCTTGTACTCCACGCACAGGTCTTTAAATCGCAGGAGTTTCTGGTTCATCTCTGGAAACTGGATCGCAATCGTGTCTTTCATCAGATCTTGGCACCGCACGATATAATCCTCCATCTCGTCTAAAATACGCTGCGATCGGCGAACTAACCCGATGCTGACGATTGTGGCAGGTCACCTCAGTGTGAGTCTGGAATCAGCTGGAATCAGTGAGTCTGGAATCACCTGGAATCAGTGTGTCTGTCATGGTCATACAGCTGGAGACAGGTCACCTCAGTGTGAATCTCTCACCTGGAATCGGCAGTCATACAGCATTTCCAGCTGGAAGGGGCGTCCGAGTGTGGCCACCTCGATGGTTTCTGAGGCCAACATAGCTCTGGAGCCTGGGTTCGTTACTGAAATCAAACCCACCACAGAGATGTTAAATGATTAACATCACAACCTTTGTACATGATTTCAAAGTCATGCACCAACCTGGCTTGATCATGTTGATAAAATGCTGCGTTTTGACATTCTGTTCTTAACAGCCGTATCAGCTGGACAGATAAAAGTGCAAAGATCATTGTTTTTATTGTTGGCATAGCAGGTATGAGGCTCCACTGGAGCCATAAAACATTGTGCATTATAAAACGATATCTATGTACCATTATACAATCTGTTTGAATTTGGTCTTTGCACGTAAATCTTACTGTACCCGAAACTGGAGCAGAACTGCAGGTCAACATCTGTGGAGTTGCAGAGGAAGACGTACTGGACTTGAATTTGAGCAACTCTGAATTTTTCTTCTTTAACAAGTGGATAGCATGAAGAAATCAATCCCTTCAGCTGAATTGTCCTGCCTCTTAAAAACAGTTTCGCCTTGAAACCAAGCATTAATTTTGACAACAAATCTTAGGTTTGGGCAACGAGCAGAAATGCATTTATTTGGTCTTTGCACGTAAACCTTACTGTAACCGAAACTGGAGCAGAACTGCAGGTCCGCGTCTGTGGCGATGCACTAATGCACTACCGGTACGTTGTAGCTGCTTGACCCTTTTGTTCCTCTTCGTTGTCTTATTCTAAGCCCTTCCCTCTCTGACAGCTACCACGCGGGGCGCCTGACCTGGGCGACCATGGAGCTGTGAAAAAATAGAGCCGAAACCTACTGTGCTCTTGGTGTCGCGCGTCGAACGGCAGCGGTTTCCTGCTTTTTTACATGCCTCTTCTGCAGTCGGTGGCCCTTGTGGTCCCCTGAGCCAAGAGCTCAGGGATTTGCTCCCTGTATGTGCTGGAAGCCCCACCTCCACCGAGAGATGGCCGGTGTCCTTTTGGACTTTGCACTGATGTGGAATTAAAACTTAAATGTCGTCCTGTTCATCAGTAGTCTGCAGTCCTCTCTGTTAAACTGTCAAGGTGCTGTCAAAAAATTCCATTATTGCACTAGAGACATAATAAAATAAAAAAAAGCTAACAACAATCATCTAACAAAAGAGGTTGTTGATGGAGATGCCAGTAAACCCTGGTGTGTCCAGTCCTGGTCCTGGAGGGGTCAGTCAGTGTGTGTGTCTGCAGCAGGGCTGTCCAGTCCTGCTTCTGGAGGGGTCAGTGTGTGTGTGTCTGCAGTAGGGCTGTCCAGTCCTGGTCCTGGAGGGGTCAGACAGTGTGTCCAGTCCTGGTCCTGGAGGGGTCAGACAGTGTGTGTGTCTGCAGCAGGGCTGTCCAGTCCTGGTCCTGGAGGGGTCAGTCAGTGTGTCTGCCTGCAGCAGGGCTGTCCAGTCCTGGTCCTGGAGGGGTCAGTCAGTGTGTCCAGTCCTGGTCCTGGAGGGGTCAGTCTGCC